GCGGGCGGAAAGGAGCCTGAGCTCGATGTCAGTCACCAGACTTGCGCCGCCCAGGGGTCGCTGGCCAAGGCGCGTCCGGAGGAGGGGCGAGGGCCCGAAGCTCGCGCGTCTGCTCCGCGCCTGGAAAATCTCAGGGAAACGGAGGGAAAGTTCGCCGGCGGTTGGAGCCGGAGTGGAGATGCGGGGCCGGGCTGCAGAGAGTCTGCATCCAGGAACCCTGAAGGAGCAGAGCCGTTTCCTCTCCTGGCTCAGGGAGGCGGGGGCGACAGGGTGAAAAGATTCCAGTGCAGTAAGACACTGTGAGCACGGCAGAATATTGGCCATGGTTTTTCTCTCTTACCAGATTGAAGGTGTCCGGAGACAGACTTCAGGCTCCAGGCCTGATAAGTCAGTTAAGTGGTAGCGACATATGCATGTAATTGCTTTAAGTGCAGATCTGCTGGCTCTGCTCAATGCACTAGTCAGAAAAATCCCCTTGGGTATCTCTGGGGGGGAAATATATATATTTATATGCATATACACACAGTCTAGCTTTCACACCCGTGTTTCACACAGCAGTAAATGCATTCACTCATCTTCAACAGGAAAGGAATTTTTCTGTCCCCTCTCCACTCTCACACCAACACACATAGGCAGTGGTGGGGCCACATCATTTGGTTTTCACACCTTTGGGGATCAACAGGTCCTGGCCAGGAAAGTTATATTCTGGGTGCTTTCCATAGAAATCAGAAAAGAACTTCCCAGAGCAGAGCTACCAGGGATGTCTTTGGACCTTAAATAGCTAAGGCATCCCTCACTATAGATAACTATTGGGGGGGAGGGGGAATGTTCATTAACTTGGGGTGGAGAGTTCTGGATGTAAGACCTGATTCTGACTCTCATCGGTTGTGTCTGTCCATCCAGAGTCAGTGTTCATTGATTGATCTGTAAAATGGCAATACTCCAACAACAACAAAAATGGAAAAAGTTCTGTGCAAGTGCTCAGGGGGGAAAAAAAGATTGCTGATAAAAGGCAGTCAGTAAAAAAAGCACTGTCCTTGTTTCAGGAAATGGGGTGCTTCTATTTAAGGGTACTTATGAGCTATAAATTATATTCACTCCTAACGCCTCGGTATCAAAGCCCAAACAAAGCGGAGACTTACGCAATCGCAGAAGAGATCTTAACAGCTTTTCCTTAGGAGGCCCAGAAAGGGAAAGTTACTTCAAAAAGAAATGTCGCTCATTTAATGAGACGATTATTATATTACAGTTTCAAACTAGTGATTATGATTTGGCTGACTAAGAATCTAAGCCATCCATGCTGAAAAATTGGAAAATGGTGGCAAAATTTCTCAGCATTTATCAAACCTGAAACATGCAATAAACGTGTCATTGACATATACAAAGATGTAGTTATTGTTTCATTAGGCATCTCTAAGTGTGTAGTTTATATTCAAATTATAGAGTGGTGGAAAAATCAGATTATAGATGTATGTTTTTTCAGTCGATACTCTTCTAAAGGTTCTTTTCTACAAAAAGAGCTGATTTTCTTCCCATTTTTGAGTCACGAATGTGAGAATGCTATCTGAAGTACTGCCCTTAGATTTAAATTTGTAACACCAGCCAGCCAATGGCTCTGAACCTGACCTGTATACAAATAACCAGCAGAGTCTCACTGTTCAGTTTTAGTTCCAAAGAAATAGCAAAGCATCTTCATTGTATTTTAGTGTTCTAACATGATTATTCTCAGCCATATCTTTGTTCCCACAGAAAAAAACATCGTAAGAAAAATATTGTTTCTTTCAGTGCAAAGAGCTATGTGTTAAATCCAGAAGATGAAGATAACTTAGGCCAACGTATAAGATATAATAGGAAAAATGTTGAACAAATGTTAATTAAATGGCTTCCTTTATGTGCACTCAAATGATTGCTTGTGTGGGATGATGGCAGAAGGTAGGGACTGGGTGAGAATCAGGTTCCCAAAATAATCCTCAAGGTCAAGGTGGATTCCTGGAGGTACTGGAATAAGGGCAGAGAACGGCTTAGAGAAAACTTAGAAATAAAAAATCCCAGGATAGAGGTGATACTAAATCAGCAAGAAGTGGGGAGTAGAAAAGGGAGGTGGCAGGTGGTGAAACATCCTGTGACACTTTCCAGGCCTCAAGAGGGCCGATAAAAGGACCCCCACCCCACCCCTGAAAGAGGTGGTCACTGAAGCGTTTGGTGGGGTGATGGAAACAGAAGTGGGCCCATCTGCTTTCTCAGTGTCCATGAGTTTGGACACAGGAGGCCGCGGGTCTGAGCCATTTCAGGTTCTATATCTGTGTTTTCCAGTGTGGCAGCCCCTTGCCACATATAACCATTGAGCCCTCGAAATGTGGCAAAGATGAGCTGAGATGTGCTCTAAGTTTAAAACACAGGCTGGATTTTGAAAATATATAAAAAATGTAAAATATCTCCATCATTATGCCAGTCACACGTTGACTTGTTTGGATATACTGGCATAAATAAAATATGTTAATAAAATGAATTTTACCAGCTTTTTACTTTTTAGAATATGAAATGACTTGTGCAGTTTACATATTTTTATTGGCAGTGCTCTTCTAGAAAGCCTATAATTGCTCCTTTGATTTAAGGTCACTCTGGTGCCAAAGGCAACAGAGCCAGGGAATGTGAGGCCTGGAGGGGACCTGAGAGCTTATCTAGGCCAGTGGTTTTCAAATTGTGTTAGGAGGAGCGGGAGGGAGTAGGGACGCCAGTGCACGTGACTAATGTGGGCGCAGAGAGGAGCTGGTGGAGCTTTGAGGCCTCACTACCACCCCCACCCTTGCACACTTGATATATATTTTTTATTCCTGAGACTCTAAAGTAAGATATCATTTGAAGAAAGGATTCTGGTTGGTTTCTTGTTCTATTTCATTTTGTTTTTTAATCCGGGCCCAGCCTTTTACCTGTAAGGCAATGGGAGGCCATCATAATAGAGGCGGCATGGTCACAGCCACGCTTGACCTCAGCCTTCATTTCAAAGTCCAGCCTGGCCACTCTTGGACACGGCAGAGGAGGTGACGGACCAGCTGGGGGAATTAATAAGGGCCCTGTCTCAAGCAAGCAGATCCCCTTTCCAAGCAGTTAGCTTTTCCTCCCCCTCCACTCCCCCTACATCTGAGACCTCCCAGAGGCCTGCTGCTCTTTGTCAACAGAAAACTCTGGCTAGGCCAAGTGTGTGCATCATTGACACAAGCTTATTTGCTCCATGAAAATAATAAACAAAAAGCCAACTGCCGGCCATAGGTCTCCAGCATGCCCTGCTCTGAGATGGATGGCCTCTTATGATTATGTGTTGCGACATCAAAGACAACATCTTCCCGGTCGCCAAGCTCTGAGCGATCATTTTCTCATTAGGAAATGCTGTCTGATCCACAGTCCCTGTGTCTGACTGTTGCGG